CGATGCTGTCCGTCTTGTCCACGATGTGGCCGCTGAGGACGGGCTCCTGGGTGAGCAGGAGGCGGCGTCGGGAAATTCTTCCGGTCTACCTTCAGCCGCCTCTTGAAGTCCTTGTTCTCCTTCCACGTCTTGCGCCTCTCGGAAGCGAGCTCTGCCAAAATGGTGGGAACTTCTAGCTCCGAGAGGTCCGCTTTGTCCAGCGTCACCAGCACGGTCTGCTCCTGACTTGAATCCATGGACGAGACGCTGCTGGCGTCCTTGTCGTCATAGAACGTGGGCTGCGACGTCTGCTCGAACTCTGCGAACGTCTTCTTGCTCTGGGTCAGGCTCTCATTCCGCTGCATATCCATCTCTCGAATGGCGTGGAGCAGATCCTGGTACTCTCCTGAATTCTTACTAGCATCTGCTTCTGTGAGTCGTCTAGACCGACTCCTTCCTCAATGAACAGGCGTCGCCACTTGCTGTTCAACTCGAGCCCCTGCGAGGAGAGGCGGTCGAACACCTGGTCCATCCTGGCCGCGTAGACGCTCGGCGTCTCTCCCTGCCGGCGTTGAAACCCGAACAAGCACTCGCGGCCCACTCTTCTCATCTCGTCGTCCTGCCTCTGGCCGCTGAGCACGTCCAAGCGATCGAGGATCGCCTGCGGGCCGGCCTCGGAAACGAGGATGTCGTCCGATAGATCCTCGAACTTCTTGCGCAAGTCGAGGTCCAGCACCTTCAGGATCTTGTCTGCCCGACGGCCGACGGAGACACCTGTCCCGGCCAGCCAGCGTCGTACGCCCCGGCGCCACAGGCGGTATTCGCTCCATCCCAACCATGCGTCGGGGTCGCTCAGGTCGGGCTTCTCCCACCACGAAGACGACCAGTCCTCTGGGGACTGTCGCCACGCACTGCTGCTGCTGCTGCGCCAGTCTCTGGCGCCCCACTTCTTCTGGCCCAAGCCCGCGTCGTCCTGAGAATCCTTCGGCGCGTCGGCTGAGGCTGACCACCAGCCTCTGCCTGCCCATCGCGCTCCCTCATTCTCTCCGACGCCTCGTCTGGATCCTTCTCGCCAGGGATCGTTGCCGAGCTCCTCCCACAGGTCGGATCCGGATGCTGAGTCGCGGGCCGGTTGAGCCGCACCTTCCGACGTGGGGCCCGCGGTACCCGAGACGGCCAGAGCCGCCTTGATCTCCTCGCGCAGGATGCTCCTCAGCTCGAGCGCCTGCGCCGATGTGAAACTGCTGCTGCTGCCGGTCGCGCTCTGGGGCGCGCCACCTGGGGCCTCGCGGCCTCTCTGGCCTTGTTCTCCCTGAAAGTCATCCTTATCTCGATCGCCACTGCTGGCAGCCGGAGGCTGCCCGTCCGCCGGCATGGCGGCGGTCACTGGAGACGGCCGGGGAAGACCGACCGCTCCGCTACCACTGACGCGTCAAGGACGGCCAGTGGCGAAAACGAGGGATGCTTTCTCTCAAGAGAGACATGGTGTCGAAAGGTGCCTGGGTCAAAACAGCAGCGGATGCGCGCACACGTGCGAACATAAACGTGTATGACAAGTAACTATACAGACAGTACGAGAGATGATTAAGCTCAAACAGCTCCCAATTCCACACTTCCAGAATATCAAGCATAATGCTAGGGGGCATGTTGGTGTGAATTATGAGGCATGGCGCTTCGTCCAAAATATCTGCGTATATGCCCCCCCAATGTTTATTGCCGCTGGCTCTAGCCCGTGTGCAATTGCCTCTGAAGTTGAGGGGAAGAGTCAAGTTTAGCGCATTGTACCCAAAAAACGCTCCGAAGTCAGTGTCTTCATGTGTCCAATTCACGAAGAGGGCTCGTCTGGTAAGCATTGCCAAATACAGCGATGTTGATAATCCATTGGATTGGTCCCCAAATCCCCCGTCGTGCGAGTCGAATATCATAATGCGAGCTTTCTCAGACAAGTTGTGCTCGATGTCCTTGCAAGCCTCCCTGTGGTATTGCGCGTAACTTACCCAATGCGACGGCTCATCGAGACTGAGATGCCGCGTGGAACAAACCTCAAACTCAAACTTAAACTCCGTGTCTGAACCATCCGTGTCTGAACCATCCGTGGCTGAACCATCCATCCGTTGTGTGAACCATCCGTGTCTGAACCATCCGAACGCGAGGGCAATCAGACATGTGAACACACACAGAAGGAATAATCCCGAGGCCCAAGGCCTTCCCACTTTGCCTTGAACCGATTCCTGTGCAGAATCGGTTTCGTTGTGCAAAACATGATGCATGCTCGAAAGGACTGCAAACTGCGCAAACTCTTCCGCCTAAAGTTGTCAGTGTTGGACAACACTGGCTTGAACCACAATTTCTTGAGCCAAAATGGCTACGGACCGTCGTGCACCATCTTGAGGCCCTCTCAGGTCGTCGTAGGTGCATCTTGGGCCGTCTTGGAGGCATCTTGGGCCATCTCAGCCGTCTTGGAGGCCATCTTGGGCGTCTCGGGAGCATCTGGGGCCGCCTTGGGGTCCTCTTGGGGCTCTCTTGGGGCCCTGCTGGGAGCCCTGGAAGGCCTCGTGGGGTCATATTGAAGACCATCGATCAAAGGAGGGGCTGGGATAACGTTCAGCCCCCCCACCCCAAAGATGCCAAAATGGTGGCAAAACCTTAGTAAACCCAGCGATTGTGGCACCCAGAGGGCTGGCGGGATAACGTTCAGCCCCCTCCAAACAAACCATAACCTTAGTAAAACCAATGATTTGGGCGCCCAAAGCGCTGGTGGTGCAACGTTCGCCCCCCCCCCCCCCCCCCCTCTCCAAGATACCAAAACGGCGCAAAAACCTTGGTAAAGCAAATGATTGTGGCTTCCTCGCCGAGGCCGTTTTGGACGCCCTGACACCTCGCGGGGGTGGGGGGGCGAAAACAGTCCAGGGGAGGGGTAAAGGGAGGGGCGAACCCTTTCCCGTAGGGGAAGTCGGTTTATTTGAAGGAAGAGGAATCTCGTTAGACCACCTGTCGCCCCAAGGGCTGGTGGGATTGTGTCTTTGGCCCCAACTTCATTAGAACAACGGCTCCCGCCTGATACTTCCTCACACTGTGTTTAAGAATCGCGTTCTCGCGCAAGCATCCCTCACATTTGTTACACAAATCGCGCTCTTGCTTTGGACGTCTTCGCAATCGATTCAGACGCCGCGCCCTCGGCACTCAGGAATCACACTCTCATGTGGATGTCCGCACGATTTACTCGGGAATCGCGCTAGCTTTCGAGACCTCCTCGCGATGTATGCCAGGACGCACGCTTCACAACACGCCTGGACCCGCCTTCACGACCCGCCCCTTCAGGCCTACCCGTCTGGTTCTGCCACCTGCTTTCTGCTCCTAGCCCCCTTCTCCTGCCATTCTCGCTCGTGCTTGTTCCTTCCCCTTTCTCATTGTCCCTTCCTTTCATCCGTCCTCCCTTCCCCTGCTTGGGGACTGCACGAAATACGCGCTGCATGTAAGAAAGATATACCCCAAAGGGGGTCATATTGAAGACTGAGAGGGCGGGTATCGAGGGATTGGGGTATGCGTATTGAATGGCACACGAACTGATAAGAGCGAGCAGTCTTAAAGTAATCGCTGTTGTTGTTGAACTCTCACTGCTGAAGAATCGTTGTTCTTGACCCCCCCTTCGGGGAACATTGCGTGGTTCAACTGAATTGCCCTTCCTGGGGCTCGCACCGTGTTGGCTATCAGGGGAATTCTTGGGTTTCAAAATTGTATCTTCTGCCGCTGATTCACAACAAAAGCGGTTCAGAACCGGATGCTTGCCCACAATGTGTTTCAAAACTCGCGCTCTAGCGCGGAACTCCCTCCCAATGTATGCAGGAATCGCGCTCTCACGTTGGAATTCCTCGCAATGGATTCAGACGCCGCGCCCTCGACACTCAGGAATCACGCTCTCGCGGCGGATTTCCTCACGGTCCATGCAAGAAACGCGATTCAGTAATCCCCTGTTCTTGACCTGGCCGCCTGGCGCCGCCTTCCCGAACCGCCCACTAAGGTCTGCCCAACCGATGTGCCTGTTTGGTTCTGCCACGTGCGGTGTGTTCCTGGCCCTCCTCCTGCGAAGCCCTTTCGTGCTCCATCCTTGTCCCTCCCCCTTCCATCCACCCTCTCTCCTGCCTCAGGACCACCGCGAAATGCTCGAAGCAGGTAAGGAATATATGCACCCAAGGGGGTTAGGATCGAATTCGATGAGGACGGGTACCGAAGTTTCAGGATAAACGTGTTGAGTGGCACGCGAGCAGATACAAGCGAGCAGTCTTAAAATGAGTGTTGTAATTCTAAATGTTGCCGTTGTATGACAATTGCAGTTGTACGTGTTACATGTAGCCGTAGTTTTAGTTCCAATTGTGGTTGTAAGTGGTGTTGTAGTTGTTGATGTTGTCGTCAAAATTTCAATCCTAACAACTCTTTGTGGTTGATCCCCCCTGCCCGGTAAGCACATGTCTTTTTGGTAAGTGCAATGATTATCCCGGGGCTCGCACAATTTGTTTAAAAGGGAAAGCGAGCAGTCTCCAAACTGGGCCCCTGGCACCCGGATTGCAAGAGCATCGGCTCCCGCCTAATACCCCCTCGCAATGTACTCCAGAATCGCGCTCTCGCGCGACATTTCCTCACAACGTATACAGGAGTCGCGCTCATGAGTTGGACGTCCTCGCAATAGATTCAAACGCCGCGCCCTCGACACTCAGGAATCACGCTCTCGCGGCGGGTTCCCTTACAAGTCATTTGGAAATCGCGCTGTCGTTCGAGACTTCATCGCTATTCATTCAAAGCGCACGCTTCAGCAACCCACCTGCTCGACCTGGCCGCTTGGGACCGCCTTGCCGACCCGCCCGCTTGGGTCTACCCGCCAGATCTGCCCGTCTGGATCTGCCACGTGCGTTTTGCTCCTAGTCCCCTCCTGCAAGAGCGAACACTCTTAAAATGATTGATGTTGTCGTCGTCGTTGCTGCCATCATTATCATTACTATTCGTCGACTTCATCGATCCTTAGCGGCGGCTGCACGGGGCCGCGGAGAGCCTTCATCACGGGGCTGCGGCCTCCTCTGTGTGGGTCCAGCGAGAGCGTGCTCGTGACCTGAGCTGACTTGTCCTTGCCCTTCTTCTGCGACCTCGTCTCCATGGGGATGTCGGCGAGGGACTGCTTCTGTCTGCTGTTGGCCTCGCTCAGGGTCTTGTACGAGTCGAGCACCGACACCGCGTTCGTGAGCAAGCTGTTGACCGCGTACAGCGTCGACTCGGCCTTGGCCAAAGCCATGGTGCTCTGCAGCTCAGAGCACAGGCCCGCTATCTCCCGGAGCTTCTCAACGGGGTCCTGCAGCGGGAAGTTGACCATGGCCCACGTCCGCCTCGAGTCGGCGGACGCGGCGACACTGCCAGAGAACTGAACTGGGCCAAGGTAGATGGCCACACGGTCTCTCGGCGCTCGGATCCCTGCGAACGGGCGCGTCACGCCCCGCTGCTTCAGCAGCTGTATCGGCGACGGCGACGGCGACGTCTCGCCCGTCTCCTCGTCGATCTCGACCCTCAGCAGGCTGGTCAGGGGGATGCCTCCCACGCGCCACTGTTCGACGTCCTCCTCCAGGTGGGACGCGTGCACCAGCTGGCCGCCCTTGCCGAGGTCGACGAGCATCGCGGCGCCCCAGCCCAGCGTGTAGGCGAGGTCGCAGTCGAAGTTTGTCGGCATGGCCGAGCGAGCCTGTTGAGGCCTCCTGGATGAGGTCGGAGTAGATGTGATCGGATGATCGCGCCGCATCGCCGATGCATTGGCGATGCATCGGCCATGCATCGGGGATGTACTGGCGATGCATCGTCGACGTCGCATCGGCGGCGTCCACGTGAAGCAAATCGGGCTCCACGTCGAGCCGCATCGGCGACGCCTCGGCGATGCGGCGCGATCCTCCGACCCCATTCTACTCCGACCCCGTCTAGGGGACCTAGAGCCTGGTGGAGCATCGGGTAGCACGAGCCCCGGAAGAAGTCCTCCACGAAGTGCCCGAGCCGCCGCCGGCGGCCCAGCTCGATCTGCACGAAGCGCAGCAGCAGGCGGTCGAAGGAGATCCTCTTGAGATTCGGCATCCTTCCGGTGGCAACTCACAGCGCCTCCCATACCATCTTGTCGGCTGTTGCGAATCGACGCCAAATCGACGCTAATCGGCGCTAAAACATATCGACGCTAATCGACGCAAAATCGACGCTGGTCGACGCCAATCGACGCTAAATCGGGCTATCTCATCGACTCCCAGACGCTCATCGACGTTAATCGACGTTGAAGACGTAATTGCGAATGTACACAAGGCTCCCATGATTTGCTACCGAACATCCTGGAGTCCCGCTCGCGGCTGCCGAAACAGATCTCGTACTGCACATCGCGCGGGAAGACCTCGAATAAGGCAGCCGAGCTGGGCTTCAGCTTGGCGGCGATGTAGCTGATCGCAGACCAGCCGGTCTCGTAGCTGTCCCCTTCCATAATCTCCATGATCTCGCGGAACAGCTGACGCATTTCCAGGATGTCCAGCACGAAGCCCGAGGGCAGCAGCAGCACGCCGTGGTTCTTGCCCTCCTTGTGGCGGCTGACGATCAGATCGCAGATGTACTTCACGATCGACTCGAGGTGCTCCCCGAGCGAGTTCCCGCCAGACAGCATCACCAGGTTCGGGTGGGCCTGCAGCGTGCACTCCACGGCCAAGTGGGCGGCCGCGTCGCCCACGATCCTGACGAAGATCCACTGGTCGCCCGTGTGCTCGGTGAGCTTCCCAACATCCCCGAGGAAGCCGCTCAGGGTGCGGGCCGTCGTGTCGTACCCGACCGCCTGCTGGACGAAGGGAAAGTCGTTGTCGAGCGAGGCCGGCACCCCAACGACCCTGGTGCCGAGGTGTTTCGCGGCGAGGGCTTCGTCGATGAGCGTGGAGTCCAGATGCGAGGTGAGCGTGCCCACCAGCACGAGGCCGGTGAGCTGGAGCTGTGCCACCGTCTCGGTCACGGCGAGTAGGTGGTCCTTGGTATGGACAGAGGCGGGCTCGCCGAACTGGCACAGCATATCCTGACCGCCGAGGTTCCTGTAGGCGTCGACCATGTCCTTAGAGATGGGGATGCTGTGGCCCTCGATCAGCCCAGCGTAGCCCCCGAGAAACCCTATAAGCTCGCTGGGAGGATCCAGACCAGCGAAGTAGTCGTACAGCCCGGCAACCACGGTGTGGAAGCCGGGGGCCTGGCTGCTGCTGAACACGACCCCCACGCGCGCGGGCCTCTCGCGCTTCTGGCGCGGGCTGCTCAGCACCAGACTGTCGACGCCTCCCAAGACGCTGTCGGCTCGGAGCCGGGGCACGCGGGGGCCCGACTCGGGGACGTCGGCGCCGGAGTGCGCGCGGGGTGCGCTGGCGGAGGCCTTCTCCGCCGGCGCCTGGTGGAAGGGCAGCAGGCGCACGGCCGTCTTGCCCGCCTTTGTCAGCGGGAACGTGGCGTCCAGGTCCTGCCAGTTAGTGCAGGCCTGCGGGGTGATGTCCTCGTTCTGTGCGAGCACCCCGCCCCGCAGGTAGCTGGGCAGCGCGGGCTGGTAGCCCACCCGAGCTTGCTCCAGGGCGCTGAGGTTCCTGTGCAAGCGCATGTCGCGCACCACCCGCGGGTGGTCGGGGCTGATGACGAGCTCTGGCGGCGGTGGCAGCGCGAAGTCTGGATGAATGAGCTGCTTCAGTTCGTCCAGGGACAAGTACTCCGCCAGGAGCGCGTACGGACGGTCGGACATGGGCCCCACATCGCCGTCGTCGCCGAACTGCACCGGGCCGGGGGCCTTCACAGCATTGCGCTCCACCCACCTATCCTTGAAGAACTCGTAGGCAAGTGGGATGTTACGCCTCTGCAGCCTCTGCAGAGTCCTGCAGCTCACGTCGCCGTCACCGCCTCCGAAGATGGCCGTGAACGGCAATGCGCACGGCTTCCACTCCGCCACGGGGAGGTGCATGTCGATGCAGGAGGCGAGGTGGAAGGTTCGACGCTCACAGAGCAGGGCCGCCGCGGTGTGCCCAAGGGTGTACCCGAACGCGCAGTCGAAGTTGGACGGCAGCGGGGCGTTGCACATGAGCTCCACGGCGTGGAAGCGCGGTGCAAAGGTGTGTTGCGGGCTGGCGGCGCCCCTGCTGTCCTCCTCCACCTCCTTCTGCACGAAGCGGCCCAGGATCCGCTCCACCTCCACCTCGGGCAGCGCGGGCATGCCCGAGGAGTCCCTCTCCCGGATCAACGACATCTGCGCCGCGCGCGGGAGGTGGGCGAAGAGCGTCTTGGCGCCCTCGTCCCGCAGCTGCCCCTCGACCTCTTCCAGCGCCAGCGGCATGGTCGATGTCCTCCGTCCTACTGAGTCATCGAGCGCGGCGTCCCCACAGATCTCCAAGATCTCTGCCTTCAGCACCGCCATCTCTGGCAGCTGCGCCAGGAACTGACCGCTGATCAGCACCACCCCGCTGGGCCGCCCGATCTCCCGTCGCCGCTGGACGCCTTTAACGAGCCGGTCGACCGTCTCCCGCATCGTGACCTGCTGGCCCGATCTGTGCCGATTGAACACCGTGAAGGTGCACCGCGTCTCCAGCGCCACCTCCATCGTCAGCGCGTCCTCGCCGCTGCGGACGAAGTGCCAATCCGCCACCGTGCCTTCTAAACTGTGAAGGCGTGGAAGGATTCCAAGTGCTGTCTGGCAGGTTTCTCTAGTCTTCCAAGTGACCCACCCACCACCCATCTTTCGTCAGAGTGGCGCGTGTACCGCCCCTCCTCCAGAGGGATCCTGGGCGGCCATGGCGCTTCCCTGGGGCCCCGATGTCTTCCGAGACGGCCCCAGAAAGCCATCTAGGCCACCAAGATGGTCCAAAAGACCTCCATGACGGCCTCAGATGGCCCAAGACGGCCTCGAGGTGGCCCAAGAGGGCTCCAAGACGTCCCAAGCAATAGGGCTCCAATAGAGCCTCCAGCAAAGCCCGAAAAGGCCCGAATCATTGATGTTCCGTCATTGTTTGAAGGAAGGTCGCATTCCTGCGTTCTCGTCGGCTCAAGACAGCCCAAGACGCCTCCAAGATGGCCTCAAGACGGGCCAGGAGGGCACCAAGAGGGCCCCAAGCAGGCCCAACAGGGTGCCGAGATGGCCCAAGAGCGGTCCAAGAGGACGCAAGTCGGCCAAGGACGGCGTTCAGACGGCCGTCAAGGGCCCCCCCAAAGCCCCCAGACGACCCAGAGAGCCTCCCGACATCGACCCGGAGAGCCCACACGCGGTCCAAGAGCGCCCTCGGTCGGCCTGGGGGGCCCCCCAAGAGCCCCGCGGGCGTCCCCAGGGCGCTGCCAAAAGGAGGCCCTGGGTGGCCCCCAAAACACTCCTCCCCCCCGGACCTGCGACGCGCCCGAAGTGTCAAACGTGATGGCCTGCAGTGCCTCCTCGAACAAGCCCTCCTGTGCTTCCTGGTGCCGAGACGGCCTCCCGAGCCTCCTCGTGCCGTGGCGGCCTCCCATGCCTCTCCCCTCCTCGCCCCCTTTCCGCCGGGCAGCACGGCCTGCCCGGGACCAGCGTGGCGGCCTTTAGGGCTTTGGCAGACGACACCCACCCTGCATGGTGTCGTCCTCAAACAGTCAACGCCCAACATGCTGGACTGGCACGGTGGCGAGATTTGCCGCAGGCAACTGGATCCGCCGCCCCCTGTCGATTCATCGCAGGGGTGCCTGGCGTGCTGGACACTCTCGTTTTTGGTTTTGGTTCTTTTTCCCACAATAACTCCCCCTGGGGCTTCGGCCCGTTCCGCCGGGGCCCCCGCAAGACACACAGGACGCCCAAGCCATCGCCCAATTCCCAAATGTTCCTCCAAGACGGCTCAAGATGGCCTCCAAGATGGCCTCCGATGGCCTCCAAGTCAGCCCAAGAGAGGAGGACATGCCTCCAAGTCCGCCCAAGAACCCTCCAAGACGGCCCAAGACGGCCCAAGAGGTGCCCAAGAGGCCTCCAACACGGCCCAAGAGGCCTCCAAGTGGTCCTCAAGGAGGTCCTCCAGGAGGGCCCGAAGAGGCCAAAATACTCAATTGTCCTTCGGTTTTTGCAGGTTGTTCGTATTTGCTCCTTTTCGGCTATCCGACGACCCAAGACGGCCCAAGAGGCCCCCAAGATCGCCCCCAAAGCGCCCAAGAGGCCTCCAAAATGGCCTCAGGACGGCCCAGGAGGCCCCCAAGACGGCCCCAAGAGGCTTCCAAGACGGGCCAAGAGGCCTCCAAGACGCCCAAGATGCCGCCCCGAAGCGCCCAAAGAGGGCCCCAAGCCGGTTCAGAAAGGCCCCCAAGACGGCTCCCGACGGCGTCAGACGTGCCCGAAGTTGGCTCGAAGCAGGCCCAAGACGGCCCAAGAGGCCTCCAAGAGGGCCTCCAGGAAAGCCAGAAAAGATCAAAAAATATATTTTCCTAAAGCTTTTGAAGGATTTTGACATGTGTTTCTTCTCGGCCTTCAGACGGCCCGAGACGGCCCAAGAGCTCCCAAAGGTCGCCCAACGATCGCCCAAGAGGCCTCCAAGACGGCCCCAAGATGCCTCCAAGACGCTCAAGATGGCCTCCAAGACGGCCCAAGAGCCCTCCAAGACGTCCTCCAAAAAAAGCCCCTAAAGGGTCAAAATGGCCTACAGACGGCCAAGAGGACCTTCAAGATGCCCACGTCTTCCCCGAAGGCTCTTCAAACCGAATCGGGGAACACATGGTCCGATAGCTTGGCAGGTCTGGCCTCAACGTTCGGCCACATTGGCGCTTCCAAAAAGGCAGGGGGCGGCGGTGATTCGCCGTAGTCGTCTTCGATCCGCCGCCCCATGTTGATTCATCACAGGGGTGCCCGGCGTGCTGAATCCTATCGTTTTTGGTTTTGGTTCTTTATCCCAGAAAGCTCCCCCTGGGGCTCCGGCGCGTCCCGCCGGCCACCCGAAAGGATGCCGAAAAGTTGCCTGGACCTGGACCCAGCTCCAAAGGGTTTTGTCCTGATCCAGACGGCTCCACGACGGCCCAAGATGGCCTCCAAGATGCATCCCAGACGGCCAAGATGGCCTCCAAGACGGCTAAGATGGCCCCATGATGCCTCCAAGACGGCCCAAGATGTACCCAAGATGGCGTAAGACAGCCTCAAAATGGCCCAAGACGGCCCAAGCGACCTCGATACGGCCCAAGAGGCCTCCAAGAGGTGCTTCAGGAGGGCCCGCAGAGGCCAAACTCTTTGCTTTTTCTTTGGTTTTGCAGTATTTTGGCATTTGCCTCTTCTCGGCATTCCGACGGCTCAAGACGGCCCAAGAGGCCGCCAAGCTCGCCTCGAGATCGCCCACGAGGGCCCCATGACGGCCCAAGAGGCATCCAAGAGGGCCCTGAGACGGTCCAAGAGACCTCCGATACGCCCAAGATGGCCTCCAAGACGGCCCCGAAGCGCCCCACCCGAAGTCGGTTCAGAGAGGTCCCCAAGACGGCTCCCGACGGCGTCAGACGTGCCAGGAACCCACCAAGATGGCCGAAGTTGGCTCGAAGCTGGCCCAAGACGGCCCAAGAGGCCTCCAAAAGGGCCTCCAGGAAAGCCAGAAAAGGCAACAAAACATTCATGTTCCTGAGGTTCTTACAGGATTTTGATATTTGCTTCTTTTCAGCCTTACGGTGGACCGAGACGGCCCAAGAGCCCCCAAAAATCGCCCAAAGATCGCCCAAGAGGCCTCCAAGATGGCCCCAGATCGGCCCAAGAGGCCCCCAAGACGGCCCCAAGGGACCCCCAAGACGGCCCAGGAGGCCTTTAAGACGCCCAAGATTGCCTCCAAGACGGTCCTGGAGCAACCCAAGAGGGCCCCAAGTCGGCCCAGAGAAGCCCCCCAAACGGCTTCGGACGGCGTCAGACAGGCCAGGAACCCACCAAAACGGCCGAAGATGGCCCTAAGATGGCCCAAGAGGCCTCCAAGAGGACCTCCAGGAAGGCCCGAAAAAAACTTAAATCACTGTTTCGCATGAGTTTTTGAAGGATTGTGGCATTTGTTGTTGTTCTGTCTTCCGACGGCCCGAGACGGCCCAAGAGCCCCCAAAGATCGCCCAAGAGGCCCAAGACGCCCCCAAGAGGCCCCCAACACGGCCCAAGAGGCCTCCAAGACGTTCAAGATGTTGGCCTCCAAGACGGCCCAGGAACCCTCCAAGACGTCCTCCCCCAAACTGGCTTGATTTAGGGCGGGGTTTTCGGACTCAACCGACTCAACCTGTTTTTGCATCATCGTCATCAGCATCGTCATCATAGTCGGCATGATATTCATCATCGTCCGCGTCATCGCCGTCATCTTCACCATCTCCTCATCATCGTCATCATCATAATACCCGTCATCATCTCCTCGGCATCGTCATCATCATGTAGTGCTGATGATGATTAAATCAAGACCCGCATGACGATGATGGCGGCGTGACCATGTTGATGCTGATGATGATGACGATGGTGATGAAGTTGATGATTGAGAAGATGATGGCGATGAAGATGAGGATGCTGATGATGATGAGGATGACGATAACCTTCTTTCGGACTGCGCGGGCCGTGCTGAGTGCTAATCGGAAAGCCCCGCAGCCTCCGTGGAAGCGGGCCACCGCATTTCGTCAAGCACCTCCGTGAGGTCGGGCAGCGCCACGGGGACACGTGCCAGGTGATCGGCCACGACGTGGTTCACGACGTTCAAGAACTCCTTCGGGCCAGGCGTGGCGTCGATCCTGCGCGCCCTGAACTCCCGAAAGACGTCGGAGCGGATCATGACGGCGATCTGCAGCCTGCTGTCGTCTACGCGCTGTTGCAGCTCGTGGTGGGTCGCGAAACAGCCCTGGCAGTCCGCGGAGGCGTGGCGGTGCACGTTGTGCTGGAGGGGGGACAGGGTGCCCATGTAGAAGGACCCAGGCTTTTGCTTGAGGGTGACGACCCTTCCGCGGGAGGCTGTGCTCGAGGGCGACGCCCCATCATGTGTTCCCAGGACCCCTGGGATCCTCACTTGCACGGAGCGCGCCCCGAAAATCGCCACGGCCGCGTGCAACAGGGAGCATCCGCCATCTGTGTGCCAACTATCGTCCCGCGCGCCTGGTTGCATGAGCTGGATCGATGCGTACGCGAACGCGTTGTCGGCGAAGTGCTCTGTCATGATGGGCTTTCCGTTCTGCTCGACGATGGCAGGTGGCGTGCCGTCGGCTTTGACAGCCTCGCGCATTTTGTCTCCCAACTGTTGCAGCCGCTGGCGCATCTTCTTCCGCAGCGCTCGCACGAAGGCGGCCATGTGGGGCGAGGGGGTGATCTGCAAACCCCCGTCCTTGTTGAGGCTGCGGCACTTCGGGGGGCCGTCGTCGTCCGCGATGTCTGCGACCTCTGTTTTCAAGCCCTTTGCCGCCTCGTCGCCTCGGACGCATTTGGCGACGGTTGCCCCCGTGTCCAGGCGCTCCTCGGCCAAGTTCTGCCAGCGCGGGTCTCTCTGCAAGAAGCGGAGCAAGTCTGGGTCCAGCTCCGCCTCCGCTATCGCGCCCGTGCCGTTTTTTCCCTGCGCCATGGAGATGCGCGCGTCGAGCCGGGCGCCAGCCGGCTGCAGGAAGCGGCGATCCCTT